CCTCAGATTGCGAGTCGAGCGCCTTATCCACCTGGCCATCTAAGATAATGTATCAATATATTAAGACACCTATGTCTCACATAAAGAGCGTTCATAAACATAATGAGATAAATTATATTATTACTAAGACCTCTAAGCACCAATGTTATTTAAAAAATAAAATAAGAATTTGCAATTCTTTAAGCTTTCTTGAATGTTAGCATAAAATTTTCTACTGCTTTCCTGAAATGATTAGAATAAGGGTTAACTTTTTAGAGGACCAACATATAGTAGAAGCAGCCAAAAAAGCATTACGTTCAGTTAGAATAGTTGGACACCCAGACGAGTGCCAAACCGCCATTTCTCAATGAATGCTGTGGTAAGTACCTTCCTGGAGGGATTGAGTAGAGTGTCGAGTAGTGGAAACACAGTACTTCCTCTGTTAAGATAAACCAGAGGCGCCAAGCTAAGAATGGTAGAAGAAGCTTTAGAGAAAATTCATGGATACGAACCGGAAGTGACGACTTTCTTAAGAAGCTACATTTCCGATGTCAAGCGCGTGAGTATTAATACTACTGATTGATACAAGTTCGGCCTAGTCATTTCCCGGCTATTTATTCACTACTTATCTTACAATGCTTCCGATCCCGAACCGCACACAGCAAAGTCTCATTATTTGAAGGAAGTGTAATTAATATTTTCCCTGATAAGGAATAAGTATGGTGGACATTTTAAAACTTAATTGGTATTTAAGTAATAGAGCGACGTGTTGTTTTCGCTCCTTCAGCTACAGTTGATTGTTTTGTTTGTTTTTGTTAGTTTTTTTAATTATGCACAAAGCTACACAAGGGCTATCTGTGCTCTGCCCATCACGGGTATCGAAACCCGGTTTCTAGCGTTCTAAGTCCGCAGACATGCCGCTGTGCCACTAGGGGGCCATCTACAGTTGCAGAACAAAACAAAGAACGTGTGTGAACACTGTACGCGTATAAGAACAATACAGATAATGACATACGTAGCTAGCATAAATATTACGTGCAAAATATAGAAATATATGCAAACAAATCTCTTATAAATAGCATTATTTCTTAGCAAAATCATTGTTTTTTGTTACTTTGTATGACTTTTAAGTTCTTGTAAATGTTTCTATTTTGGAAAATCTAGGAATTCAAGTTTTTGTTACGCATGTCAAAGATTTGTTTGGTTTGTTAAGTCTAATTGTCTTTACACTTTCTATATTGTTACGTGAACATTTTAACATATCGTATCTTATGATGGGTTATGTCTAATTATTTTAACACCTTCTAGACTGTATTATGTAAACACTTTAACATATACTGCGCTTGGTTTAACATCGTGCCTTTTAGTCTGTTATGTGTACCCTTATGGTAATTCTCACGAACCTTTGTTAAACTTTGCACGTGTCTTTGTCAATTAACTGGAAACCGGTGTTATGGCTTAAGTTAACTACATCTTAAACAAGTTTTCATTTTTTTATAACTTCAATTTCAGAAGTTCAAACTTTCTAAACTGTATATGCAGGAAAAGGCAAAGATAGCCATTAAGAACAATTTAATTTAGTTTTAAAGCTCATCTTTATAAATAATACGCTTGCGTTTATCTGTTTGTTTATCCGAAATTTTTCTAGCAAATTTCGCTATCGAACGCTACAAATCTCATATCGTTAGAAAGGCCTTTGTCCGAGGAGTCCGGATTGCATATTGGCTTTTTTATTCAGAATAAATTTACCTGTTTTTTGTTTAGTCAAACTTTTATATGCAATGAGTATGCTACACAATGGCACAATGTCGTTGTTTTCACGTGACGACTGGCTTCGATTTCAACTTTAGTATTTTATTTGCAAAGTATTTCACACAAAAACACTTAAACAGCTTGTAATTTCCTAAAAAAATCAACATTACACTAAATACAAATGCAATTGGCTTTCTCGACTTATTTATGTTTAAAATACGCATGCGCAGTTCGTTCAAAACCAAATGCTTATCAATTTGTGAACACGCATTCAGACGCTTCTGTATATTCAGCTAAGTTTGCCTTCATTACAGCTTTACGTTTATTTTACTTTGCAATAATTTAGCTTCAGTTCGTTTCTTAGACTGCTATAAACACCTTTTAGCTACTTTTTTCTTTACTACAGGTCTTATGCTTCGTTTTTGTGAATTTCTTTGTTTCAATTTGTCATAAACTGAACACTCATAACTGTTTCATACTCTGTACAATATTATAAGTACCATTACTATACTTTATAGTTTACTTTACGTGTAGTTTAAATAGTTACGCATGTGTAGTTTTATTAAAGTTAAGTCCATGTGAGTTTGTTTGTCTGACTGCGTAATTTATAAAAAAAAATAACAATAGACTACAATTTAGCGATCTAACACATAATGCCTGCAATAAAGCGTAAATGTCGTGGGTGAAAATGGTAGAATAAGGAAACTTTAAGTGAAGGGCATGAAAACTATCGCAAATGTTTTGCGATTTGCGGCTGGTGGAGAAATATTATCTTCACGTCATATGAAAAACACGATTTTTGTACTACTGTTATTATTAGTTTCTATTACCATGACTGTTATGTTTATGTTATGGTATCTTTCCTTTGCAATACACAGTTTGTTTTGTTTAAGAACAAAGTATCAAGTAACAGCACAATATTTGTAAGCAAGGCTTATAAAATGTACACACATATCTATAACATATAACTTTTGTTATCCTTTAACGACTTTTTTAATATGTTATTATTAATACATACTGAAATGATTGCTCTGTTTTTGTTTGTTCATTGTTAACCAAAAAACTACACGCTGTGTCTACCGCGGGAAGTCGAGCCCTGGATTTTAGCGTAGTAAACCATCAGGCTTATCGCCGAAATTGATGTCTATGAAAATGTATCTTAGAATATTAAAGAAAAACTTTCATAAAAAACAATAATAAAAGATAAACAATAACTTAAGGACTTTAGTGGACCCCCTCGGTAGGGTAAATTTACTAGAACAGCAGAGTTTTCGCTTTTACGCAAAAGGGAGATACATTATTGGTTATTGTAATATGTTTTGCAATGTTTACCTTGACTTCAGTAAATAGTTTCTTGATTTCCAAGATTACTGCGTCCTTCCTATACACACTGTCCAAACTGTCAAGTAACGATACTTCTTTCAGGCGCTGTTTGATGACATTTTTTACGTCATCACTGTTGTGAAGAGATCAGTCTCTCGGACTAGAATTATTGTAACTTATTTTCAGTTTAGCTAACAATATACACTTATCGAGATCATTCGCTCGTTTATGTAGCAAAGTTACGAATTAGCACTAGAGTTCGCACACTAACTAATGTCGCCCACAACACTTCTACCGGCAGCTGAAGAGAATTACCAAGTTGTTGTGAGGTTCACACAACACGAGTAAGGCGTTTGTTTACGGAAAGCTATAGCCTTGTCCCTGCCTGTTGTGTTAATTATATATCACAACGCTCTGCTTACGTCACTTCAAACTACTGCTTTCGTTGATTAAGTGTGCTTCTCGGTATTTCAACAACGAGTTATATAACCTTTCCGAAAAGTACACATCAACAAATCTCTGTTATCTTGGAGCTAATTACAAACATACACTGTCTGATTAGGGCCAACCTGTTTATTGCGACACGACATTATCATAGCCAGCGTGCCTGAACGGTTGTTTGTTTAGAGGATAAGCAAAATAACTCGTAGGCGAATTTGGCACGAATCACTTCTTCAGGAACAAACAACGACAAATTACAGTTAAGAATGTTAAAGCAACACAGTATTGTTTCTGAACGACAAATTACAGTTAAGAATGTTAAAGCGACACAGTATTGTTTCTGAACGACAAATTACAGTTAAGAATGTTAAAGCAACACAGTATTGTTTCTGAACGACAAATTACAGTTAAGAATGTTAAAGCGACATAGTATTGTTTCTGAACGACAAATTACAGTTAAGGATGTTAAAGCAACACAGTATTGTTTCTGAACGACAAATTACAGTTAAGAATGTTAAAGCAACACAGTATTGTTTCTGAACGACAAATTACAGTTAAGAATGTTAAAGCAACACAGTATTGTTTCTGAACGACAAATTACAGTTAAGAATGTTAAAGCAACACAGTATTGTTTCTGCAGTTATCTAACATTTCTTACAGCTCATCTCATCCTCAACAAACATTACAGAATGAATCAGATTAACGAGTGATTCGATCGGAAAGAACAAAGGTTCGGTAAATAACTAATGCTGTTCTGTGTTTAGTCAGTGTTTACTTTCGCACGAGCCGCCCAAAAGTATGTATGACGTGTTATGTGCAACCATTTTTTACGTCATTATAATCCCATTAGTCGAGTTCTAGAAACACTATATATATATTTTTTTATGACGTATTTTAACTGTTGGGTGTTAGAAAATTTGCTGTTGGACATGAACGTGACATACCTTGCTCACTAATATCTAATTATGTCTAAAATATTTAACTTGTGTTATTGTTTTTGATACTTTGCAGAAAGTTCGAGAAATAACACCAGGCAAGACTGGAAAGTTATACATCGAGAAACAGTTTTATTTTTTCATTATTTGATTTTATCAGTCATACTAAATACTTAAATAAAAAAGTAACAAAATTAATAACGAACGTTTTCTAACTCGGTGGAAGAAAGTTGTCTCGATAACTGAATGGTTGTGAAACAAAAAAAAAAACTGTGTTTCTACTCTCTGCATGATATAAAACGCGCCACAGGAAAGACGGTATTCCTTATGGACGTTTTATGCTGTAGAATGTTCTGACATCATTACTGTAGTTTCCATATCTGTTTTGAGTTCGCGTGCAGTTTCTGAATTTTCCAATCACAAAGTTATATTCCACATCAGGAGAAAACCTACCGGATTCAATTGGTCCTAGTCCGGGCGTGGCCCAGTGATTAGAATGCCTGGACTGTGATTCCGAAGATTCACGGTTCGCGACCCGTTGTCGCAAACTGTTAAGTCTCACTGTTCGATCAGAAAAGAGAGCAGCTCAAGAGTTTGCGAGGAGAGGATGATGTTGACGATCTAAATTACTTCTTGTTCAATATTAAACAAACAAACAAACAGTCTGACTACAGAGGAGGGTTTAAAGGAGGGTTTCCGATTTTATATATATTTCATTCCGAAACATTTTCCTCTTCTAGCAAAATAAGATTTAACAAATCATTAAGCGAATAGATCATCAAAAGTTAAACCGAAAATTCTGGAAACATACTAACTCATACGTGTGTGTCATCTGATTTCAAATTAAGCTGTCTATACATAAAGTGTTAAAGGAAAATCTAAGGTATATATATATATCTTTCACAACAGTTCAGGGAACTTATTGTTGCTCGCAACTAAGCAACCATTTATCTTGCCTGGGCCACGATTGGCTATTAGTTAGCGATTGTAGTACCAGGTGTTAATAGAAATATCTGTTCTCTACAATGGATATCGACCGAGTTTATTTGTAGAAGTCTATTTACAAATATAACACGCTTTCGAAATCAAACATGCTATTGTTTACATCTAACACACACACACGTACACATACTGCCAGTGTTTGCTCTTTTCTGGGGTCATTTAGCCCACCAGGTGATGGTAAGAGATGTTACTCATATATGTGTAGGATGAGCTAATTGTTTCCTTTTATATTAAGGTTCGATACTAGAGGTGGAGGCAACGCTTTGTTATAAAAATAATCAATTGTTTTTCAAACTTAACTATTGAAAGATACGTACTGTAGATTACCACAACTTATAAATGTATTCTCCGCCTGAGAAGATTTTTGTATTTTTATTGTCATGCTGTATGTAAAACAAGCATGTTAAAAATCTGTGTTCTCTTCCCATGGTTAGAATTTTTAATGTAGTATTGAATTTAAAACAAACTTGTTTAAAAATCTGTGTTCTCTTCCCATGGTTAGAATTTTTAATGTAGTATTGAATTTAAAACAAACTTGTCTAAAAATCTGTGTTCTCTTCCCATGGTTAGAATTTTTAATGCAGTATTGAATTTAAAACAAACTTGTTTAAAAATCTGTGTTCCCTTCCCATGATTAGTATTTTTAATGTAGTATTGAATTTAAAATAAACTTGTTTAAAAATCTGTGTTCTCTTCCCATGATTAGTATTTTTAATGTCTTACTGTATGTAGAACAAGCTCGTTCAAAAATCTGTGTTCTCTTCCCATGATTAGTATTTTAATGTCGTACTGTATGTAGAACAAGTTCATTCAAAAATCTGTGTTCTCTTGCCATGATTAGTATTTTTAATGTAGTACTCTATGTAAAACAAGCTCGTTCAAAAATCTGTGTTCTCTTGCCATGATTAGTATTTTTAACGTCGTACTCTATGTAAAACAAGCTCGTTCAAAAATCTGTGTTCTCTTCCCACAATTAGTATTTTTAATGGCATACTGTTGATTTTGTAACTGAGTTAAAATTATTATTCCGATCCGTGACTGTTTATCTCATATACTGAAACCCACGTGATCATTATAATACATAGTATAAAGTAATCATGACACATGTAATTAATATATATGATCTGGTAAGCCTAAAATAAATAAAGTAAGTCAGTTGTAAGTCTAGTAATTTGGAAGACTGAACTTAGCCATCACTAATTTTGTTCTCACAGACAAGACAGATTGTCAACAACACCCACCGCCACCTCTTGGTTTATTCCTTTCTGAGAGAATAGTGAGACTAATCTGTCAGACTTATAATGCATTCGTGGCCTCAAAGTGAAGTTCGCGAATTTGTAGCAAGGCGTCTTGAACCATGAACTTTCGAGTTCACAGCCCAGACACGTTAACCAATAGGCCACGCCCGGTCTAATAAATTTAGGAAGCAAAATATATAAAAATATCTTAGTGTGACAGTAGTAATTGGACAATTTCGAAATATACAACAAGTTAAGCTCTCGAAGTACTAACTCCGAAAGAAATTCAGACAACTAATACTAACTCCGAAAGAAATTAAGACAACTAATAATACTAACTCCGAAAGAAATTAAGACAACTAATACTAACTCCGAACGAAATTAAGACAACTAATACTAACTCCGAACGAAATTAACACAACTGATACTAACTCCGAACGAAATTAACACAACTGATACTAACTCCGAAACAAATTAAGATAACTAATACTAACTCCAAAACAAATTAAGACAACTAATAATACTAACTCCGAAAGAAATTAAGACAACTAATACTAACTCCGAACGAAATTAAGACAACTAATACTAACTCCGAACGAAATTAACACAACTGATACTAACTCCGAACGAAATTAAGACAACTAATATTAACTTCAAAACAAATTAAGATAACTAACACTAACTCCAAAACAAATTAAGATAACTAATACTAACTCCAAAAGAAATTAAGATAACTAATACTAACTCCAAAAGAAATTAAGATAACTAATACTAACTCCAAAACAAATTAAGACAACTAATATTAACTTCAAAACAAATTAAGATAACTAATATTAACTTCGAAACAAATTAAGACAACTCTGATGACGAGGAACTCACTTTGAGATAGTAAAGTTTGAAGATGGCTTGAATTGGTAATGAAGATAATTTTATTACAAGTTCTACAAATGTACAACGTTTTGTCATAATCAGGTACATATTGATGGGCGAAACATTTTACATTTATTACTATGTTAAACTTGTTGTATGGTACTGATTAAGGACTTGTAACAGGTTAGTACCCGAAAGTTAGTAGTATGATACTGGTTAAGGACTTGTAACAGATTAGTACCCCAAAAGTTAGTAATATGTTGCTGGTTAAGGACATGTAACAGGTTAGTACCCGAAAGTTAGGGTATGGTACTGGTTAAGGACTTGTAACAGGTTAGTACCCGAGAGTTAGTAGTATGTTACTGGTTAAGGACTTGTAACAGGTTAGTACCCGAAAGTTAGTAGTATGTTACTGGTTAAGGACTTGTAACAGGTTAGTACCCGAAAGTTAGGGTATGGTACTGGCTAAGGACTTGTAACAGGTTAGTACCCGAAAGTTAGTAGTATGATACTGGTTAAGGACTTGTAACAGATTAGTATCCGAAAGTTAGGGTATGGTACCGGTTAACGACTTGTAACAGATTAGTACCCGAAAGTTAGTTGTATGGAACTGGTTAACGACTTGTAACAGATTAGTACCCGAAAGTTAGTAGTATGGTACTGGTTAACGACTTGTAACAGATTAGTACCCGAGAGTTATTGGCCTCAGCTAAGAACGTGTAACCGATTAGTGCCCAAGAGTTAGCAGTTTGTTACATGTTAAAAACTTGTTGCGAATAAGTTGAAAAAAAATAATTACATAGTTTTAGACTATACTACCCTAAGTTCAATAAACTTACTTCTAAATATTTGGAATATGAAGTGTTTATTGAGATATGATAGTATAATACACGTAAAGATTTGGTCGCAATTCACGTTTATTAAGTTGTGTTAAAATCTTTGTTG